TGGGTTTATCTTGGCAGCAAGACTCCCAAGTATTGTCTGCAGTCATTTTAAGTGGGATTTCTCTATCTTTTCTTCATATAATTTGCTGGAAATATATAGAAATACTAATGATTTATTTGGGTTTATTTTATATCCTGCAACTTTGCTAAAATTTGCATCAGTTGTTTCAACTACTTTTTCAGTTGATTCTTTAGGATTCTCTAAGTATACTACCATATTGTCTGCAAAGACTGATAGTTTTGTTTCCTCATTGCCTATTCTAATTCTTCAATTTGTTTTTCTTGTCTTGTTATTATAACTAGTGATATCTTAGTTTTTTATGACTGTATTTTCTCCTTTCACTTAGTGGAATCTTTTTTTTTCTGATGAAACTTAACCTGATTAATTGTGCTCGTCTTGCTCACTGTTCTTCTATATCACCTCCATTTAAATGTACACTCCTTGAGGGCAAAGTTTGTTTTTTTTGCATCCCCAGTGCTAGTAAGCACTTAATAAATGTTTGTTCACTGACATGGACCCTTGGCATATGAGCACCTGCCACCTGACTGTGAACCCTAGCAGGGTTCAAGGCCTATGGGTGGCACTAACTAAGCTCACTGGGTAAGCATTATTCCTGTAGGAGATAACATAGAATGACCCTTAAATCACAGGTGTTTCTACTGAAATATCTTCCAGGTTCTTGGGAGCTGTGCAAACTGAAGGTATGATTCCTAAGATGGGTTTTCTGCCAGGTGAAATATGATCAGAGAGGCAGAGCTGGACAGCACCCCAGAGACCATGTAGTCCCCATCCAGTCCTACTCATTCATTTTACAGTTGAAGAAATTAAATGCTTTGCCCAAGATCACACAGGCAGCACTGAAGACACAATTTGAATCCATATCTTCTGACTCCCAAAGCCAGAGGCTTTTCTCACTGTACCAAGCTACTGACAAAGTAGAATCTGGCTCCTTTGGAAACCAAGTTTATAGTCCAAAGCTGTGTTTTCCAACTAAAACTGCACTTTAAACCAGTAAAACATCTCAATTCTATGCCCTAGGTAACTCCACCCTCTCTGCCTCTGCACAAGTATTCTTTGAGATCCATGCATTAGGGACAAGGGTCCAAGAAAGAGAGTACAAAGACAAAAGGAGAAGCCAGAGGGATCCCTGGGAGGTAGACCTGGAGCTGGAAGGGCCCTCAGAGGTCATCTGGTGCAGAGGACACTGAGGTCCAGAGAGACGAAGTGGCTTCACAACTGACATTTACAGCCTACTTTAACATTTGCAGGGAACTTTACATTCTGGACCAGATCTAGGATTTCTTTGATATAGAGAACTCAATGAGAAAACTCTCTCTACCAACTTTACAACTGACAGCCTGAGCTTGAGGGCACTAACCCGTTGAATCGAGTTCCCTGACTGAGGATGGCTCTTTTATCCACTACACAGTAGTGTTAAACTCATCTAGAAACCTGGACCACCAAACTATACGTAAGACTCCCTGCCACTGCACATTGACTTAGAAAACCACATGTAAACATTATCTATGTTCTACTGTACTTTGTTAAATGTTCCCCAATTACATTTTAATCTGATTCTGGTCACACTTGGGAATGTTGTTGGCTCAAGGCCTCCCATGTTTGTTATCAATATACTATAACTCAGAGCTTTATGTATGCCATCTCATTTGAGTTTCCCCATCCTTCCAGCTCCTCCCCCAAAGGGGGACTAAGAGGACTGCTATCCCCATTAACCATTTGAACCCAGGGATCCCTGAGTCCAAGTCCAGGATCCTATCCACTCTGACTTGCCCAAGGTCACAAATGTAGTAGGTGGTAGAGGTATGGTTTAAAGTGGGGTCCTTTGACTCCAGATAGAGCATGCTTTACACCATATTAATAATAATAGCTAACATTTATAATCTGGCCTCAGACACTTAACTTGCTGTATGACCCTAGGTTAAGTCATTTCACCCCGTTTGCCTCAGTTTCCTCATCTGAAAATAAGGTAGAGAAGAAAACGGCAAACCACTTTAGAATCTTTGCCAAGAAAACCTCAAATGGGATCATGAAGTCAGACATGACTGAAACAACTGAACAACAAAATACAGCTTTTACTATGTGTCAGGCACTATGCATTATCTCATTTAATCCTCACAATAATCCTAGGAGGTAGATACAATTATTATCTCCATTTTACAGATGAGGAAACTGAGGCAAACAGTGGTAAAATGACTTGCCAAGGGTCACACAGTAAATATCTGAGGCTAGATTTGAACTCAGATCTTCCTGATGTCACACCCAGGGCTCTATCCACTGGTTTCTGAAGTTTATATGTGGTAAGTCACTGCCTTTTACAGTACAAATTTTTCCCATCAGTAAAAATTTGATGGTTCCAGTTGGTGGATGCATGATTAATAAACAGTAGCCTAATGGAGAATGTTTGGCACTGGGAACCAAGGCTGGGTGCTGGGTTTTACCTCTGTTTTACATGGGTTCTGTAATTAAATTACCCAAGTCACTTTAACTTCTAAGTGCTTCAGCTTTTCCCGTCTGTAAGATCTGGGTGCAGTGAGAGGCAGACAAACCTGATGGAGAACTGGGTGTAGCTAGCACACAAGAGCCATAAAAAGATACTGTCTGTAGTTGGCAATTTACATGAAGCAATCTGTCAATCACTGAAGCATTGCACTTCTCAGTCAGGGGTGTTTCCCTTTCCTTCCTCTGTGTGGATCTACTGGCTCCAGACCTATTTAATTTACATCAGATTCAGTTTACTCTCCACCTGGCTCTCTGGATTGGCTGCCTCTGTTTGCTTTGGCAGGCGTTTTCTTCACTCTCTCGGATCTCCATTTAAACCACTCCCTTGCCCTCCAAGATAATTTTTACTTCTTCTAGTTCACCTCAACCCTTTGCTCTCTTGCTTCTGGGATGTAGACTGGGCACCACTAATTCCGCATCTTCTAATCCACAAGGGAGCTAAGGATAAAGTTGGATTAGATTTAAAATGTGAAAGCATAATGAAAGGGAGTGGGGTAGGGAAGGGAAACATTTATCTGAAGCAAAGAATACTTCAAAGATACCCTGCTATGTTTGAGGTAACAACTAGTTCCCAAGGGGCTGCTCAGCCAAGTTCTGATTTTGACTTTCCACCAATCCCCTACCTCAATGGTCAAAGAGCTCAGGTTTGGCATACAGTTCCCTAATATTCAGCAAATTATTTGCCTTGCAATATACAAGAGCCCTTTACTCTCAATATCACAAAGGAGAGAGAGGCAGGGGCCAAATCTCCTCCTTCTCTGAATCCCTGCCACTCAGCACATGTTTTTGAACATACTGGGCATTCCACCAATATTTGTTCAGAGATGGCCAGTGACTACTATCCATTCTTCCTACTACAGTCACTTTTTAGACCCAAAAGAACTATAACAAGTCATGGTGTCTGAAGTGGTTTCCACCTTGGGTGGTTTATAAACACTTGAGAAGGTGGGAACAAGTTATTCTGAGGGGTCCACGAATTCAGAAAGTATGTCCAGTATTAGAATTTTGACTTTTATATAGCTCTAAGGAAATATGCAGCTTGCCTTCTGCAGCCTGAATAAACAATATGTCTTGTACAGAAACATATTAACATTTTTCAAATATATGTAGGCTTTCTTGTGATTAGTAAAAACACAAATTCGTTTACTAAATTTATAGCAGTTTTTTTTATCATCACAGACTTTCCCAACTGGGGGATGGTAATAGTATTACTATTACCATATACAAGTCTGAGAAATTTTTTGAAGTTCTATACTTTCTAATGTTCAAGGTATTAATTTTTTCCCCATTTATCTTATTCAGCTTCCCTTTTTTATTCTGACCCAATTTGGGAGACTTTATCTTGTCCAGTTGTTTGCATCAGAATCTGAGTTTCTTTTCTTCAGTAGTCCTAAGAACACTGGCATATTGGTGGCAGCTAGGTGGCGCAGTGGATAGAGCACCCAGCCCTGGAGTCAGCAGAACCCAAGTTGAAATCCAGCTTCAGACCAGACATTTGACACTTATTAGCTGTGTGACCCTGGGCAAGTCATTTAACCCTAATTGCCTAAAAATTTTTTTAAAAAAGGAAAAAAAAAGAAAACTGGCATCTTGAATTTCTTCATATTGCTTGGCTCACACTTTGAATAAAAATTATACTGACTGAGAATTTTCAACAGTGAGTATTTGAATAACAGATATAAATGCTCCACTCTCCAGTTCTCTGAAGAATTGGGCAAAGTAGAGAAAGAATCGCTAGTGGGTAGGCTTTTGGACTTATGGATATCCTTATTCTCCCAGCACCAAAGCTGATAATGCAGCTCGAGAAATGAATGGTACAAAAGCTTGGTAGAATATGGTGGGATGAAAACTGTCAGGAGAGGTAAGAAGAAAAAAAAATAGAAGTGAATGATTTTGTGTGTAAGAAAATGTAGGAAAAGAAATGGGACTGATTTCCCCTGGAGAGAAAGTTTAGACAATTCTAACACCTAGAACTTCCAATATAAGTAGAAAAGGGAGCAAAAGCATAAAAACTAAATCTTACAAAAAGAGGAGTGATCAATGAAAGACTATCCTTCTAGTAGAGGTAAAGCTACGTTCCAATAAACATTGTGGCTTTAGGAAATGGTAGAAACTACCATTTTGCAAACTGTATAAAATTAACATAATAAAGGATTGGCCTTATTAAACCACAAGTGCACAGGATAAAAGTGTGTAGGCAAATATTTTACCTTCAAAGATCTATCAACATTATAGTTTTGAAGACATCAAGGTTGGCTATTAGCTAGAGAGTGGGGCTTGCTGTCAGGAAAAGCTGAGTTCAAATCCAACCTCAGACATGTACTAGCTGCATGACCCTGGGCAAGTCACTTTACCTCAACTTCCTCAATTGTCAAATGAAGATAATAACACCTACCTTGCAGGATTGACGTGAGGACCAAATGAGATCATATTTGTAAGAAGTCTGGTACATGGTAGGTGTTACAAAATGGCTTTATTACCTTCCTTTCTGTAGTTTTCTCCCCCAACATCTCTGTAAGGAACAGCCAAAGGAAGAAAAAGGCATTCCATCCAAGTAAATGACTTCACAGGCTTTTTTTTGTCATGAGGACTTGGTGCAAAGTGGAGGCATCAAAGACCACAAGCTTTAGTTACACCCCAGATGTTTTCCTAACTGCTGAAGTCAAAACTTTCCACAACCTGGTCCCACCTCTACTCTCCAATCTTATTTCAAATGCCTCTCCTTCACATACTCCTCATTCTGGTAAAAATGGCCTGTTTGCTGGTCCCATACATGACATTGCATCTGCAGGCTCCGTACCTTTGCATAGACTGTCCCCTATGCCTGGAATGTGCTCCCCTCATCTCTATTTCCAGAATTCCTAGCTTCTTTCAAACCACAGTGCAGGTGTCACTCCCCTTTCAAGGTGCTTTTTCCTGGTTCCTTCCCCCCCCCCCCCCCGGCCAGGGGTTAATTATCTCTATTTCTTTAGGTTACTTTGTATTTACTTATCAGCATACAAGTTCTATCCCCCAGCAGAATGTAAGCCGCTTTAGGTTAGAGACTTTTATTTTTTGTTTGTGTCACAGGCCCTACAAGTAGTAGGTGTTTAATAAATTTTTGTTGAACTGAATTGAATTGAGAAGCACGGATGGCTGTAATACTGGTCTCAGAGTCAAAAAAGCTGGTTCTTAGTCCTGGGACTTATTAAATTGTGTTACCATGACAAATTCACTCTGAGCCTAAATTTCTTCATTTGTAGAATAAAGATTACATTAGCTCCTCCTCTCATATGGGGCTGTGGTAAAGATTAAATGAGGCAACCTACAGCAGTAAAGCGGCTTTTCAGATTGCCTTGGGCACAATCTAGACCTTTCGCTGCAGGGCCCTCTGCACCCACCCACCCCACCCCCGACCCAAGGACTCACCAGAGCAAACCTCAGCCTCTAATTATTCCACGTTCAACAACTCTCCCAAGCAAGGCTTCGGAACGCCCCTTTCCCCCCAGTAGAATCTATCCCCTCACCCCTACCCCACCCCAGAGGCGGGACCCTAGCTAAGACCCTGGGAAATCATTCCTACCAATTTACCGCTGCCGCTTCCCCCCGCCCCGGTCCAGTCGTCTGCCCCGAGACAGCTGCCCCGCGGACCCCAGGAATCCAACCAAGCTCTCAGGTCTCCACGCTCCACACATGTTGGCACCGCCCTCCCCGCCCCCCCCCAAGCCCTGGCCACTAAGGTGTTGCCCTAGGGTTCTCGTTCCTCCTTTCTGGATCATTCTTGCCTTTGCGTGGGAGAACTCCTCGCCCCTCTCTCTAGGTCTGCGAAGAGACTCTCTTTCCACCTCCTCTCCCCAAAGTGGAGGGAATGTAAAACTTCCTGTCGTGCCCCCTGGGAGGGCAGCTGCCAGTCCCGATCCCGGGCAGACTCTGCCGGTGCTGGCCCCGTTAGAAGAGAGGAATACGAAAGGAGGCACAGCAGCGGGGGTCCCCAGCCCAGGCCTGCCCTTGAACAAGAGAGGCCGCCCCCACAAGCTCGTCTGGGCTTGCCAGGCGAGAGGAAGTGGTCCCTAACCCACAGCGCTTTCGGTTTCAGAGTGGAAGGGATGGAGCTAGAGAGACCTCCACCTCCCTTCACCCCCTCCCCAAACTCCAGGCTAGCCCCCGGGGCAATTCCTGGGGTGCGCCCTACCTCGGTCCAGGAACTGCCTCCGGGACTCACTTTAACTTCGGTGCCCTATTGCAGTCCAGGACGTTACTGGGCACCCAGGCTAGAACCCCGGCGTGCAGTTACTCCTGGGATGCAGCCCTGGCCGCCCGAGGGACACCGACAGAGCAGAGCGAATCAATGGGACGCAACCCAGCCCAAAAAAGCACGCCTGAGGGGTGGGGGTGGGGTGGGAGTGGGGGCGGGGGCGGGGGCGGACAAAGAGGAGTAGGCGGAGGGACTAGACTGAGAAGAGAGGGTTGGAGTGGTGGAGCAGCCTGCTGAGGTTACGGAGCCAAACGCTTTCACCTCCTCCTCTCACCTCCTCCGAGGAGCTGTGGTGAGGACAGGAGATGCCGGAGTAAAAGTCTGCTGGCCTGAGGACTTGCTTAAGGAGTTGAAAAAATATCTTCCGCTAGAGCCATGTGTACCTTCCCCCGAAAAATAGAATATTTAAAAATTCCCAGTCACGCAACAAGAATATCAGGCGCCGTCATATAATATATCTCTTTGCACTCTAAATTTCAGCTGAACTGATTCACTTGTCTCTTCCTTCGTCCCTTTCTGGTCCCTCTGGGTCCCACCCTCGGGTATTTGCCAAACCCTTTACCTATTCTACCTTCAAGACCCAGTTCAGTGGCCACATCTTCCTTGAACGCTTACCTGGTTCCACCCACTAGAAGTTATTACTGCTTCCTCTTTCCACTGTTTTACCTCTACTAGATAGTGAACATTCATTCAATTTATGCAGTATATTTTGATATTACTGTTGAGTCGTTTCTGTCATGCAGGCTCTTCATGACCCCATTTGGGGTTTTCTTGCCAAAGATACTGGAGTGGTTTGCCATTTTCTTCTCCAGCTCATTTTACAGAAGAGGAACTGAGGTAAACAGAGTTAAGTGACTTGCCCAGGGTCACACAGCTAGTAAGTATCTGAGGCTGGATTTGATACAGTATTTTAATTGTGCATATATCACCTCCCTCTAATAGAATCTAACAGCCCGATAAAGGTAGGAGGAATTGCATAGTTATCATCCCTCCATCTCTAGTACTTTCCAGAGGGTCATGCTTATCAAACCTTCAAATGAGATATTTGTAAAGGACTTAGCACAGGGCCTGGCACATAGTAGGTGCTACCCAAATGCCTACTTCCATCTCCTTCCCCTCCCTCTATTGATTATCTCCAGTTTATATCTGTTTAGCTTGTTTGTACATAGTTATCTGCATGCTGTGCCTCCTAATAAACTGTGAGTTCCTTGAGGACAGAGATTGCCTTTTCCGGTTTTTTTGTAGTTTTCATGTTGTCTTCCTCCTTAGATCATGAGCTCTTTGAGGGCAGAGGCTGTTTTGCATTCCTTTGGGTCCCCAGCATATGGCACAATGCCTGGCACATGGGATGCACTTAATATTTGATGAATTTGAGTTGAGTAGGTTTTAATTTTACATATCTTTCATTTTGCTGTAGGTACACACTAAACTTTATCAAGGCTGTAGCCTGGTTTAAACTAATCAATGATCTGATTATAGATTTGGCTTTAAAAAGTAATCAATGCTTAGATTACAGATTATAATCCTTCTCATCCTGTGTGATTCTTATTCATTTCTTTCCATAAGTCCTCCTTGAGGAGTCACTCAGTACGAGGGAGAGCTTCCTCTGCTTCTGTCAGGATTGCTGGTACCAGTAACTCATTGTTACATTTTTCTATGGCCTTAGTTTTGCACACAGACTTTACCAAGACATCTTTGGGAGGAAAGTAATATAAATTGTGCCAGCTCTATTTTACAGAGCAGGAAACTGAGTCTTTGAGATATTAAGTGACTTACCCTTGAAGATAGAGTTAGTAAATGTCTGAGGGGGGATTTGAACCCAGGTAAGCCTGACTCAAAGCTCAATGCTTTTTTAAAATTAAATGTTTTTTTTCAATTAATAAAAATCTATTTTCTCTCCCTACTACTTTTCCTCCTCCCCCTCAATATTTTTTTTCACTGTACTGTGTACTAACATAGGACTCATGACAAGTCTACCTCCTTTTCTAGTTGTTTTTGTTCTTGAGATTTTTGGGGGGGGGGTTTCTGCCATTACTGTCATGTAGTTTATCATTGGTTATATACTCCAGCCTACTTACAGCCACCAAGAATCTCAAAATATTATAGCACCAGGAAAAATGTGATAAGATGATGATTGTTAGTATGAGTCATCAAGCAAGTTTTCCAGGGGCCATAACTTTTTAGCTGGATTTTATGAACATTTTAAAATATCATGTAAGTACAAAATTACACTGACCTTTATTTATTATCTTGAATGTAATTTGTTCAGCAAACTAAATTCACTTCCAGAAGAAACAGACAGAATTAGGGTTGAACATCCCATTTTTCCCCCAAAGAGAAGGGTTAATCACAAGGAATATTTCAGTTCAATAAACATTAAGTGCCTACTATGGTCCAGGCACTGTGCTAAGCACTGGGCAATATAAAAAGAGGCAAAAGAAAGTTCTTGACTCCAAGGAGCTTACAATCTAATTGGGAAGACGAAATGCAAATAAATATGTAAAAACAAGCTATATTTAGGATAAATATGATGTAATTAACAAAGGAAAGGCAGCAGAACAGAGTGGTTAGGGAAGGCTTCCTTTAGAAAGTAGAATTCTCCTTGAGACTTAAATAGGAAGCCAGGGAGGTCAATAGTTGGGAGTTGGGGAGGAAGAGCATTCCAGTCATGGAAACAGCCAGAGAAAATGCCCATGCTGAGAGATGGAGTATCTTGTTTGTGGAACAGCCAGGAGGCCAGAGTCATTGCACTAAATAACTAGGGGACTGATTTGTAGAAGGACCTGAGTTACCATTGTTTGACTTGTAAGTGAAATGAGTGTGTGGGGGGGTTGTTTGTTTTTTTATTTATTCATTTTTGTTAGCTGATGCTGGCAATTTAGCTTGGAACCTTGATATTTATTTAGAGGTTACAGTGCCACCTACTGAAGCCTTAGGCTGCTGTGATATTTTCCTGACCAGGGAGACCAAGTCAGGACTGGTTAGCTCAGTTAGCTAAAGAAAGATATTCTGAATTCAAGGTCATGGGAAATACTTTTTTGCTTAATGAAAGGATTTCCCCCTGGATGGGATGTCCCAGTGAAGACTCCTCAGTGTGGGATGAAAACTTCTTAGAAGAATAAATAGAAATTGTATTAGACTCAAGGCAGGTATAGCATCCCAACAGGCCTAAGTTTCAGTTGACTAGAAATCACCTGATTTACGGGAATTCAACCCCAAGTACCCCTTTCCTTATGCCATTGTTAAGTAGTTAAAGTTTGCCAAGCCTGAAACTCCTGAAGAAGCTCCCCACCCCACCCTCCACCCCACCCCCCGTATTTCGCTGGTGCACGTGTTGCTATATTTCGGTCATGGTGACCTAGCTATACAGTACAGTATCTAGCTTGACTGCACATCTTTAATTGCTTCTTTGGTATTACTTCAGCAAACTAAGAAATATAGATATGTGTATTGTGTTCATTGTTTTGTTTTCAGTTTCTATGGTACATTGAGACTGTGAGCCAAATAGTGGACAGTTGGTAGGAGGGGAGAATTTGCCCATTAGGGCTATTTAATCAGGTCCTTTGCTTCTGTCTGCGTCTCCCTGGTCATCCTGGTGGAGGGACACCCAAATCTCAAGATTTGAAATAATAATAAATGAGCTTTCTGTTTCTCCTTGGATACCTCTGTGTGTTCTTTAATTTGAGTGGCATCCCACACCCCGCCCTATCAGGAAATAGTCTCCTAAAGCCAGCCAAGCTAAAATGTATGTCTTTGATCATAAGGGGGGCCAAACTAGAAAACAGTCATGGATCATTTTTCCTCCTAGAAAAAATGTTTTAATGGAACCTCTATTAATGGTTGACCAGGGACACTCACTATTCCACTATCTGCACCAAGTCATCTTTGTCCCAGCTCTCTGGAGCACATGTCCTGCCTCTACAGAATCAGAGCTTCAAAGACCTTTCTACCATGACAGGCTGAATAGAAAAATGTAGATCTGTTCCGATATTAATAGGATATGACACTTTGTGGTCAATTAAGCTCTTTCTACACTTTGTCTCTGTGAGGTAAGTTGTGTAAATGTTTTCCTTTTATAAATGAAGCAACTGTGACCCACAGAGGAGAGAATTCAGTACAATTTAATGAGTATTTTTAAGTGCCAACTACATACCATGCGCCATGTGTGTATATGTGTATGAGGGAGGTAACCTGTCCAGGAAGTGACTTGCCCTAGGTCACAAAATAAGTGGTTGGTAGAGGATTAACTTAAATACCCACCTCTTTTGGTTCCTGGTCTAGTTTTAGGATAGCGCAATACCTCAGGTTGAATGTTCTTTTTCTTTCCCCAGTTGTTAATGTCTTCCTCTACACTCTTTCCCCTCCCCCCACCATGCAATTGTTGGGGTTTAGGGGTGCTGGGACTCTGAAATAGCAAGGCAGGTCCTGCCTCCAACGAATTCAACCCAAGCCTTCTTTCAGCCAAAGACAAGGTTTATTAAAACACCGATCGGGATGAACAAGATTCCTAGTGAGTCTGTGCTACTGGTGGGATTTTAAGAATCAGCAATTTAATGGGGGGCAAGATGGACCTTACATACAGAAAGACTGTGGGAAGGATCTAGGAGTGGCCAGCAGGCTGGGGTGACTGGGAGGTAACAGAGAAGGACCAGGAAGGGCTGGGTGCCAGAAGCAAACTGGGAAGAATTTGGTCTATTTGGAATTCTGGAGTGGCAGTCTAGGGTGGGGCCAGGTGCGGACTAAGAGGACCACAATGAAAGGCCAGT